CCTGCTGAGCTTTCTCCCTCTCCCTGAACGTCACCCTCCCCAATCTCTACCCACCCACATCTCCAGGAATTTCCCAAGCTGGAGTTGGCAACCCCAGAGCATCATTTTAAAAATACATGTGCAAAATGAAACTGGGATTTCCCACATGCAGAAGAATACAGCGTTTAAAATGGAAGCAAATGTATCAATATTTTATTGAGAAAGAAGCAGAGGAGTAAAAACTATGAACACTTGGGTGTAACACTAGGATATAAGAGTGCAAGGTTGTGCAAACTTTAAAACTTTTAAAACGGGCAATGATGGCATATCTTATATGCAGCATCAACTACATATGCAATATCTATTACATAGTTAAGACTACACTGTCACATTGGACTGCAGGTTATCATTAGCTGATCTCACAAATGATATGTTGCACATGAAAATGCAGAATAATACCACTGATCACATCTGAACTGACATCTGAACTGATACATCTATATAGCAAACCTAAAAGTACCAGCCTGTACACTGAAATGCACATTGACTTCAAAAGGAATGCCACATACTCAATGTGAAGAGTGCCAGCTGTTAATAACAGTAGTTTCAATTTTGCATTATCATGTGCTTTAGTCTTTATCATGTGCTTTAGTACCATAGTACCAATTTTGCATTATCATGTGCTTTAGTACCATAGTCTTACATTTTGATAGTGAAATCATTCAAAATGTGGTGTTATCCATATTTGTGTACTTCTGTAGGTTTGAGGCAAATTTCAAATAGTGACAAATAGCTTCTTCAAATTAAGAGTGAAAATATCAACAGATGTATGTCTTTTCATGAATAGCATGTATTTTACACTGCATTTATAGATATGCATTACAGATTGCAAACTGAGTTACAAATTGAAATGTGATAATTTACAAAGAAAATACAGCAATGTCTGATTGCATTCATGTTGAGTACTTATGCCAAGGAATCTCTGTAATGGAAATAGCATTCTCTGAAAATAATAATTAGCCAGATTCGTAAGGTTTTTAAAAGCCTCTGATGGTTATGAACAGACATAAATACAAAACTGCCATGCATAGTCTAATCCTATTTATCTGTGCTCAGAAATAAGACCTAGTCTTATATAGTCAATGAGTGCTATTCTGATTAAGTGTTCATGGAATTGCTGACCTGGAGTTTAGTAGATATACTTGTGAGAAGTTTTTAGAAAATCTTAAATGAGATGTGGCTCTACTTATTATAATGTTCCATCACATTTTAAAATGAGGGGCATTATCCAACTGAGTTACAGTGGAATTGAATAAATGTTTAGGTAGAAGTGAGTAAATTCGGTGGGTTTTATTCCATTGTATGAACTTTTAATTGCCATTATTTTCAATGAGTAGATTTACATGCTGATCTCGCACACACTAAAATCAGTGAAACTGCTTAACTTTGGCTGGATCGTGTCTATAATATATGTACAGTATCTTTACTTATTATAGTTGTACATTGTATTAGGTTCACCTGGACTTTTGGTTGGTTAATGGTGGTTGTAAATTTTTCTGTATTTTCTTGCTGTAATTTTAGGTATGCTATTCCTCCAGAACATGGAAAGCGACTTGAAAGGCTAGCTC